TTTTTTTTTCTTCTTTTATTGACTTAACAGAAGCATAAGTTTATTAATACGATAAATGGATCGTCTTTTAACACATGTTCGTTCTCGATCATCGATATTCTTCTTTCCAAATCGTACTTTATCGTCATTTAAACCAAATTCATTCGAATTAAAATCACGTGTTTTATTAAATCTTATTAATAAATCCAATTCACCAAAACAAAATTCATCCATTCCATTAATAGATTTTGATACAACAAATGAACTTACTTCAATATTTCCATTACCAGGACAGATTGGATTTGGTTATGAAACAAAACCTTTACTTAAACTTGACTTAAATCGTTACAAAAAAACTCATGAAGAAAAAGATCCCCTAGAGCAATTTAAAATATCCTCATTACCAACAAAAAATAACGAAGAATTTTTATCAAAATTAAAAAATAATAAAAATTTAGAAATTCGTACATATGGTTGTACACCATCAATACGTTCTGAATTTCATGAATTATTTCTAAATTATAATGTTTCATCACAACCATTAACAGCTATAACAATATTATTTAAAACAAAAACTGATATGTCAACATGGTCTACAGCTGTTGATAATGAACGAAATCAATTAATAGAACAATTTACTAAATTAGCTCATGAAATATGTACTTATTTAGGTACAAAACAATATTGGGCAGATTTTATTGATCCATCTAATGGAAAACCTTATTATGGACCACCAACATCAGATGTATTATTTGAAACTGACGAACGTTATCAACATTTTGGAATTAATACTATCGATTTAGGTTGTTGTCGAATTATTCAACATTTACAACATGGTAAAACATTTCTTTTAATATTTATCATGTCGATTAATAAAATTTTATTATAGGTACTCATGTTTTTCTTGGTTGTATATTTACAAGTGCACCAAAGACAGATTCAAATATTCAGAAGCTTCTTAAAGAATTCGAGACTTCTACTTGTTAAAAACAAGATTAAAAATTTTGATTGAAAGATTTTAAAACTCAAACCTCGTTGAACTATTTCTAGATATCAATATTCCATATATGAACCACTGGATGAAAAAGCATTTATATACTATTTGTTTGATTAATAAATATAAAAAAAACAAACGAAAATCTTTTTTTGTTTTTGATTTTTATAGATAAATAAAAAATTCCTTGAGATTATTAGCAGTAGGAATAAGACTCATAGTTATCTTACAAGTACATGATACTTCTTAGATCAATTGATATGTAGAATTCAAAAATCTAACTTTTCTGTATATGCCCTTTGCTGCTTATTCTCTAATACATTAGTTTTTTTTTTGTATTTGAATGATGAGTAACTGTTATAAGACAAAATCAAATATTGTCTTTCCTTTCGATGTTCGTATTATTAATCAAATGTTATTTCTATTGAGAAATAATGAATAACTTTCTTCTGTTACATTTTAAAATCACGTTTTAGACAGATTATATTATCATAATGATTAATTCAACTTTACTATGATACAAGAGAATATAATAATGCATTTTTTGATAAATATGGAATAGACGGTATGTATATATGATAGAAAGAAACGTTCTTTTTTTTTTGTTTATAGAAATGAAAAGAAAATCTACAATAAGAAGAAGAATCTATGTGTAGCTATAAAAAAAAAGTGAAGTGTGAGAAAGAGAAACTGTTTTATTCTTCGCCGTTAATGTTTCAATCTGTGACAAGAGCATTCTGCTACACACACACACACACGTTCTTTCTTTTTACATTTATGCTCAACATTTGTCTACACCTGTGTACGCTTTTTCTTTTTCCTTTTGTATTTTTCATGTCTCATTCACATTTATTAAAAGCTGTTACTCCTTTTTGAAAGACATCGTGTTTTTCGATCATTATATTCATATTATCATTGTATAAAAGTTTATTACAGGTAAATTGACTCGTCATTTTAATTCATTGTGTAGATGATTGATTGATGATTGGTGGTAGTATAGAATGAGTAGATATTCGATATTTTCATATATTGTAAGATAACATTGACGCATACTAAATTCTCGCCTATATATTGAGACATTTGAGAAGAACAAGGAATTATAAAAGAGAAAAAAAAAGAGTAAAGAAGAGGAAAAATTTGTAAGAGTCTATGCGTTACTCAACATAAACTATTCTCGGTCGCTCATTTTCTGTTATATATATATATATATATAAGCATTAATTTCTTCGTTCATTATTTCTCTATAGTCATCTATTATTAAACAACAATGGCATCAAAATTTTCTCCACGAATGTATCCAGAAACAGAAGATAATATTCGTCCAGTACCACCTGTCCGAGCTGAATTTCAATATAATTCTCAAGAAGAACAACTACTACCACCAACAGCACCACCACGTATGGATGTACAAGGACAAGACAATTCTTCTCGACCACATCAGGTAATTACAGAGATTGTTGAGACTACACTTCAACGCATAAAAGTCATGGCTTTACTAACAATTTCTCCTTTATAAAAAATATCGGTTTTTTTTCTAGTCAGAAGAAAAGCACATTTCTAATCTAAAATATATTGTCTCGATCTATAGTCAACAATACATGATCTTTTAACAAAAAAAACTTATCGATCTTCTCAGTAGTTATCAATAATTGAAATTAAGCAAATATTCTACCTAGAAATCAAAACTTTCTTCTATAATACTCGATGAACAGAAGTGAACAAATAAAAAAAAAATTTTTTTTCTATATAGAATGAATGTCATTGCAAGTATAATCGTTATGCTACAACAAAAACGATCGGTAGGATAATACTTTTGTTTACAACAATACAAAACTTTAATAATTGTTTTTTTTTAGGTCAGGGTTTTTTTGAACTTGCGTTAATTAGTATGTAAAATTTCCGATAAAAATAGTTTATAATTGAAATATTTTTCTTTTTGAAGCAAGTAATGCAATGCAATTACGAACATTATTAACTCAAAAACAACGTGATGGAATTTGGATTGCATCTCTCGTTCTTGTTTGTTTGTCAATTCTTGCGCAGATAGGTTTAACTTATCTATTGATTATTATCGGTAAAGGTGATATTGAAAATCCAGATAAACAAACAAAATTAGAAAAATATAATTATCTTGCATTGTTCATTACAATATTAATATCAATAATGAATGTTATTATTAATGTTTTTATGTCAACAACAAGTCCAACAAGTTATTTAGATGCACATTCGTTGGAAATATTAAATAAACAAGCGTGAACAAAAGAGAAAAGATTGTAGAATAGCTCAATACTGTGATAATACTTAATATTTGTACCAATTTTTTTTGTATTCGTGTTAATTTTTAATGTTTCATTGGGTTGCTCTGTATATTTCATTTTTTTGTTCTTCTTCACAATGTTTTATATATTATTGTCGTTAATCTCTTATCAAACTCATATTCTTCTGTGTTGTTGTTGTTGTTGTTATTATTATTATTTCGGAAAGAAAAATAATGTATTTATTAAATATGTTAGTGAAGATGAAGAAAAATAACGATATGACTCACATAGTTTGTTATCTGGTAAACATGCACGCAAAGAATATTCATGAGATATTTTATGAAAGAAAAACAAAATGACGTTATCGGACAACAAAATCTACCTATTATATCATGTTCGAAGTAAAATACATAAGGTTAAGGACATATGTTAGAATATAGAAAGAAAAAATATAAAATATAGTGAAACCATGACAAATATAGACAGAAAAAGAGCATAAACTAATCACCTCTATATCTATTCTGCAAAGAAACACGTTTATTTTCTTCCTCGTTCTGTTATTGGGGGTTATTTTTTTTTTCTTGAAAGAGGCCTGATAGTGGCATAAATATAAAGCCATATTCTATATTTAATTACAATTCTGTAAGTATAGTCCAATGAAAAACAAGAATCTATAATAATAATAAACAAATATTGCGATTTTAGATTTGAATAGAGTATCACATTTCATAAGAAAACTAATAATGACAGAATCAACTGTTCGACCATCAAATCCAATTTGGATTGATGAAAAACATGATTTCATCTCTTCTTTATTAACACATCCACGGATTATTCATGCTGAATTATCTACAAATAATGATGAATATGATATTGTAATTATTGGTGCTGGGTTTTCAGGTGTAGCATGTGCTTATTGGTTACGTAAACTATATCCTGTTGAACGTTTTCCACGTATATTATTACTTGAAAGAAATGCTCGACCATGTTCTGGTGCATCTGGTCGTAATGGTGGTTTTCTTTGGCCATGTTATGACTCTTTACTTGGTTATGTTGAAAAATTTGGTCACGAAAATGCTTGTCA